CATATATACCTATCTCAAACTCTCATAGATTGGAAACTTGTTTAAACAGGGCCTTTTAATATCCCCTTTCTGTAATTGTAAAGCAGTGTGAAAACATGTTGGTGCTAAATAAGTAACAATAATAATCATCATCATCATCTCAAAAAGTCTTACGGCAGATGGATGAGCTAACGTACTGCTTGCTAGACAAAATGGATACCACAGGACTACATTGTATTGTGTCCCCCACTGCCCAAATACCTACACACAACAGGGCAGCACATTCATTTATCTTTCTTTCTTTCTATGTTTCTTTCTTTCTTTTCATATCTGTCCTTTGATAATGAACTTGTGAGACAGAAACACGTGGTATATGATGTCTCTTCATTGGCCTCTCCACTCTACTGTCTCTTTTAGGATGTTGAACAAATAAAAAGTATGGATGTTTATAACGTTCCAATGGATTCTTCTGGATTTAAACGCTGTTGCTGCTAACGTTATAATTGTGGGCTGTAAGCTACATTTCTGTTAACAAATCACAACCTCAACACATAATATGGCAATCGATCGTCCATAACAATATGCTTTCTACTAACACTGCCTTTTCCTTCATTTGAGTCTCTCGTCATTGTATAAAATTTAATCAGATTGTATCCTACATAGCAATAAGGAATCCCTGGGACTAAATCAATTTCAACACCTTTCATGGCAATATTCCCTGGAGCATCTGCAGATAAAACATGCAATCCAAAACAGGTCTGGGGGAAGATTTAGGAAATAAAGAAGAATTGAGGATATCTTGTATGAACATAGATCAAGATAAAGACTGCAAGGAGACGTAATGGAACAAAATAAAGCTAAACGGGAAGAGAAAAAAAATATACTACTGCTATTACACATCAGAACCGTAATAATATTGGAAACTACAAGTCTTCATTATGATAAGCTATGACTCACTGAGACATTATTTTTATTTTACAAGATAATTCTAATGTTAAAAGGAGAGTGCTGGAGATAGGCTGCTGATAAAACTGTAAGAAAGTCCCCTTTAAAAAAAAAATACTACATTAATGAACGTATGAATTTAAATAGACAAAATGTTATGATCATTGAATAGTAGAGATGGATACCGCACTCACTAAATAACCCAGATGCTTTGAAGCCAGGGCTGGCCTTCCAATATATGCTGAACAAATAAAGGTTTAGGCAATCCAGGATAACAGAAATAGCAGCTTTATTGGGGCAAAAGTATCAACGTTTCAACCCTACCGGGTCTTCATCAAGCTTGGTAGGGTCGAAACGTTAGTGCTTTTTTCCCAATAAACCGTTATTCATTCTGCATGATCATTGAAAAAAAACTGAAACTGTAGGGAAATGACAAAGTAATCCGAAATATTAACCAAAAGTATCCAAACAGCAAAAGAAGCTGAGATGGAGAATTTCTCCCAGTCATCTGTTTTGGGGTCACTTTTGCTGATATCTTGCCAATTCTCAATAATTGGCAGATTATTATTAGTAGCAGTTATATTAGTTGTAATGTATTGCCACAGCACAGTACAGTTATAGAATGGGGATATTTTATTATTAATATTTTATTATTTATATATCGCCAGTAAATTCCGTAGTGCTGTACAATGTTTTACAACAAGTAACTGACTGTAACGGATCGTTTTGCACACAAGAGGTTAAAAACTGTTTAGGCGATATTCCCCTTTCCAGATGCACAGACAGCACCAATCTTCCGAACTGCAAACTACACGAATCCTCCAACTCCCGAACAGGAAACACACGAATTCTGGAAACAGCCGAACAGGAAAAGCATACAATCAGCTTACACTCCTGGCAATCAGCATACAATCCAATTCCCCCAATAACAAGACGACACTTTGTTTTGAGGTCAAGCAGAACTGATTTACTAGGGCTACCTGCCCGGCTTTTATGCAGGTCTCCCACCTGGTGGACCAGATGGGAAACTGGGAAACATATTGGACATTGACCAATCACAGACATACACCTTTAAACACTCCCACAATGCATCACAATCCCTCCTCTCTCTCCTGGAGATAATTGGGAAGTAATCCAATTATCTCCAAGGACAGAGGCAAAACTCCATTAGCCACATGGCAGACAAAGGACAATAAAAGACATAAAATTACCTACAGCTACATTTATCACATGGAACATACACATTCTGCCTATCCCCAGATAGCTTAGATCTGAGCGCACATTATTACCGGATGGCACTCAGATCACATACATACAGTTCAATCGCCATGGAGCCAAAGTCTTTCATACAGTCTTTCAGTATACCGCTGGGCTCCATGGCATAGCTATCTGGGGTAGCATGGCTTTAACAGTCTGCAGAAAGGCACGAATACGCTTTTCTGCAGGGAAAATAAAAGGTTTTAACTGCTGGGCCATAGTCTAAAGGGAGCAGGCAGCAACCAGGCTCCTCCAGTGGACAGTGGCGAGGTTGGTTTCGCCACACTGACATACAGAATATTAACAGCAACAAGAGGTGAAGGTCCTGCTCAATCGAGCTTACAGCCTTATTTGTGAATAGACCACTTCGGGATGTAACTATGACATTCTATATAGCCATCACTATATAGCTAAATAAAAGTACTAACATATTGCTTGTGCAATTTGATGTTTTGTGTTCAGGAGGTTTCACTTTGTTTTCCAATGCAAAGCGTGTTACCTGGTGGTGGAGGGTGAGAATAAACATTAAACCTATATTTTTATTTATATTAGGAGTGCCTATCTGCGTGTCGTCATTTTTAAAGGAACATTGTAGGCACTGTTACTGCTCCATCTCCGTAAACTGGTTATAGTGTTACAGAGTTTCCTGATGATGCCCTTACATTCAGCATCAAACAGGTTTTTAATGTTTTTTTATGTTTTAATGCTAAATGAGAGTCCCCAGGTTACATTTTGTTCAATCTATGCCGACCCCAAAACTTATATTTCAAATATTTTTATTTAATTCTGACACAGAATAAATAATGAATTAACATTAAAACATCTGAATTACAGGAATACTATCGGGTCAGGGACACAAACGTATTACCGAACCTATAGTGTTTAACCCACCATTTAGGTGGCTTGCCCCCCTTAGTCCCCTAAAAAGTTAATAAAACCCATCTTATTTCCAGCGTCACGTGGGTCCACCGGCGCTGACCCTGCCCCCTTGGTGACATCATCAGGATTGAATCAGCAAGGGACCGGGACCAAACGCAATTTTGGAAAATTCAGCATACCCATGCAGAGCGGGAGACGCTAAATGGCAGTGCTGCCTACTGTGCAGCACTGAGCCAGGAAGCACCTTCAGTGGCCATCTTCGAGGTGTCCCTAGGGGCAATGTAAACACTGCTTTTTATCTGAAAAGGCAGTGTTTGCATGAAAATGCTTGAAGGCAATGATTATACTCACCAGAACAACTACAGTAAACTGTAGTTGTTCTGGTGACTCTAGTGTCCCTTTACTTTATAGACACAAACAGCATGCTATCCAAAAGCTAAAATGCAAGGTATATAGAATTGTTAATTAAGAATTGCATCTACTAGATAAAAATACATGCTAACAACTATGATAAACTGACTAGTATAATGATTTAAACTAACAGAATTGCAATGGGTGGACTAACAGACACGTATTTGTAACCAGAGGAGTTGGACACACAGGAACAGAGGGATTGAGGGCCCTGCTCAGTAAACTTAAATGCTAGATGAGATGGGGTATAGTGACACAGTAACAGAGGGTTTGAGGCCCTGCTCAGTGAGTTTACATGTTAGAGGGAGTGGGGTATAGTGACACAGTAACAGAGGGATTGAGGGCCCTGCTCATTGAGTTTACATGTTAGAGGGAGTGGGGTATAGTGACACAGTAACAGAGGGATTGATGCCCTGCTCAGTGAGTTTACATGTTAGAGGGAGTGGGGTATAGTGACACAGTAAGAGAGGGATTGAGGGCCCTGCTCATTGAGTTTACATGTTAGAGGGAGTGGGGTATAGTGACACAGTAACAGAGGGATTGAGGGCCTGGTCAGTGAGTTTACATGTTAGAGGGTGTGGGGTATAGTGACACAGTAACAGAGGGATTGAGGGCCCGGCTCAGTGAGTTTACATGCTAGAGGGAGTGGGGTATAGTGACACAGTAACAGAGTGACTGAGGCCCTGCTCAGTAAGTTTACATGTGAGAGGGAGTGGGGTATAGTGACACAGTAGCAGAGGGATTGAGGGCCCTGCTCAGTTAGTTTACATGTTAGAGGGAGTGGGGTATAGTGACACAGTAACAGAGGGATTGAGGGCCCTGCTCAGTTAGTTTACATGCTAGAGGGAGTGGGGTATAGTGACACAGTAACAGAGGGATTGAGGCCCTGCTCAGTGAGTGTACATGTTAGAGGGAGTGGGGTATAGTGACAGTAACAGAGGGATTGAGGGCCTGCTCAGTGAGTTTACATGCTAGAGGGAGTGGGGTATAGTGACACAGTAACAGAGGGATTGAGGGTCCTGCTCAGTGAGCTTACATGCTAGAGGGAGTGGGGTATAGTGACAGTAACAGAGGGATTGAGGGCCTGCACAGTGAGTTTACATGTTAGAGGGAGTGGGGTATAGTGACACAGTAACAGAGGGATTGAGGGTCCTGCTCAGTGAGCTTACATGCTAGAGGGAGTGGGGTATAATGCCACAGTAACAGAGGGATTGAGGGCCCTGCTCAGTGAGCTTACATGTTAGAGGGAGTGGGGTATAGTGACACAGTAACAGAGGGATTGAGGGCCTGCTCAGTGAGTTTACATGTTAGAGGGAGTGGGGTATAGTGACACAGTAACAGAGGGATTGAGGGCCCTGCTCAGTGAGTTTACATGTTAGAGGGAGTGGGGTATAGTGACACAGTAACAGAGGGATTGAGGGCCCTGCTCAGTGAGTTTACATGTTAGAGGGAGTGGGGTATAGTGACACAAGGGGATTGAGGGCCTGCTCAGTGAGTTTACATGCTAGAGGGTGGGGTATAGTCACACAGTAACAGAGGGATTGAGGGCCCTGCTCAGTGAGTTTACATGTTAGAGGGAGTGGGGTATAGTGACACAGTAACAGAGGGATTGAGGGCCTGCTCAGTGAGTTTACATGTTAGAGGGAGTGGGGTATAGTGACACAGTAACAGAGGGACTGAGGGCCCTGCTCAGTGAGTTTACATGTTAGAGGGAGTGGGGTATAGTGACACAGTAACAGAGGGATTGAGGGCCCTGCTCAGTGAGTTTACATGCTAGAGGGAGTGGGGTATAGTGACACAGTAACAGAGGGATTGAGGGCCCTGCTCAGTGAGTTTACATGTTAGAGGGAGTGGGGTATAGTGACACAGTAACAGAGGGATTGAGGTCCTGCTCAGTGAGTTTACATGTTAGAGGGAGTGGGGTATAGTGACACAGTAACAGAGGGATTGAGGCCCTGCTCAGTGAGTTTACATGTTAGAGGGAGTGGGGTATAGTGACAGTAACAGTGGGACTGAGGGCCTGCTCAGTGAGTTTACATGTTAGAGGGAGTGGGGTATAGTGACACAGTAACAGAGGGATTGAGGGCCTGCTCAGTGAGTTTACATGTTAGAGGGAGTGGGGTATAGTGACAGTAACAGAGGGATTGAGGGCCTGCTCAGTGAGCTTACATGTTAGAGGGGTGGGGCATAGTGACACAGTAACAGAGGGATTGAGGGCCCTGCTCAGTGAGTTTACATGTTAGAGGGAGTGGGGTATAGTGACACAGTAACAGAGGGATTGAGGCCCTGCTCAGTGTGTTTACATGTTAGAGGGAGTGGGGTATAGTGACACAGTAACAGAGGGATTGAGGGCCCTGCTCAGTGAGTTTACATGTTAGAGGGAGTGGGGTATAGTGACACAGTAACAGAGGGATTGAGGGCCCTGCTCAGTGAGTTTACATGCTAGAAGGAGTGGGGTATAGTGACACAGTAACAGAGGGATTGAGGGCCCTGCTCAGTGAGTTTACATGCTAGAGGGAGTGGGGTATAGTGACACAGTAACAGAGGGATTGAGGGCCCTGCTCAGTGAGTTTACATGTTAGAGGGAGTGGGGTATAGTGACACAGTAACAGAGGGATTGAGGGCCCTGCTCAGTGAGTTTACATGTTAGAGGGAGTGGGGTATAGTGACACAGTAACAGAGGGATTGAGGGCCTGCTCAGTGAGTTTACATGTTAGAGGGAGTGGGGTATAGTGACACAGTAACAGAGGGATTGAGGGCCTGCTCAGTGAGTTTACATGTTAGAGGGAGTGGGGTATAGTGACACAGTAACAGAGGGATTGAGGGCCTGCTCAGTGAGTTTACATGTTAGAGGGAGTGGGGTATAGTGACACAGTAACAGAGGGATTGAGGGCCTGCTCAGTGAGTTTACATGTTAGAGGGAATGGGGTATAGTGACACAGTAACAGAGGGATTGAGGGCCCTGCTCAGTGAGTTTACATGTTAGAGGGAGTGGGGTATAGTGACTCAGTAACAGAGGGATTGAGGGTCCTGCTCAGTGAGTTTACATGTTAGAGGGAGTAGGGTATAGTGACAGTAACAGAGGGATTGAGGGCCTGCTCAGTGAGTTTACATGTTAGAGGGAGTGGGGTATAGTGACACAAAATGTAAGGGTAGGGTAGAAACGTAGGTTGCTAGGATAGTATTCAGGGCTTAGTGTTTTGTTTTGACGACAGTTGCAGAAGTGGAATCAGGGTGCAGGGAGGGAAAGCTGTTGACAGTTTAATTGATACGCTTTCCTGAAGAAGTAAGTTTTCAAATATTTTCTAAAGAATTGGAGACTGGGTGAGAGCCTAACAAAGATGGGAAGGATGATCCTTAGGAACGGTGCAGCCCTAGAGAAGTCTTTAAGGTGAGCATCAGAACAGAGGTTAGATGTAGGTCTCCGGCTGAGCGTAGGGGCCTAGACGGGACATATTTGTGTATTAGTGAGGATAAGTAGGTTGGAGCAGCATTGTGTAGAGATTTGTAAGCAGGTACCAGGATCTTAAATTGAGTCCTATATCTTACAGGAAGCCAACGTAGGGACTGACAGAGGGGGAGGCATGTTCATTATAGACTGTAACGGGGTGGGAGCACGTAAGACCCCTGAGAATCGGAGTACAGTAGTCAAGGCAAGAGAGGATAGCGGCATTATTTAAAAAAAAAAAGGCACTATTTACATTTAGTAACTGGAAGTTTTTAATATCTCTCCAATGGCCATTGAAGTGTAAGCTCACCTGCCATGTCAAGGCAAAACCTCTTAGATAAGTCCTCCATTAACAATTGAACTTGCTGCTTTCAGCTAAAGGTAACAGCTCAAATGAGACACAAGGGGAATTTTAACAAATCCCTACACATTCGTTAACCCTTAAAAGGGCACACATGGGGTGGGCAGCAGCACTATAATATGGCTGTGCAATATTAAAGCAAAATGTAAGCACAGAAAATGAAGGCCTGTGCTCTAACTCTGAGTACTTTAAAAAAAAAAAAAGTTATTTCACCACAAATAGCGTAACGATGATGTGTTGCATAAAATTATCTTTGACAAAAACAAGAGACTTTCTACTCGAGATGCAAAGACGCGCATTAATTACGCAGGAGGGACTAAGTATATATCAAACTTGACTCAAAACTAAATCTTCTTATAGATACAGGAGAAAAGAAGTTGTATTCATATGGTCATAAGGATCACCAGCAAGGACAGGATGCTAATGAAAAGTCTCTCATGCTACTTGAAGTGATATATTGTGCCCACAAAATGACGGAAAGGTTTGAATGGCGTGAGCAAAGTGTAAATATGATATGGTAATGCAGTCACCCTTGTCCAAGATGCTGCTTTAGAAAGTTAATTAGATTTGCCTGGCACAATCTATTTAATCTTAAACCAGAGCGTCTCCATTAAACAATCATTTTGTTCATTAAATGCTAGCTTTGCACCTGCAATTATTGACCCTAAAGTCTCACCTGGCATGACGACTTTCAAATGGGTAATTAGAAGAGTGTGTTTTATGGTATAATTGCAAGCCAAAGGGTCTCCCCCACCCTGAAACCACATAGAAATCTAATTGGGATGCACCATTACCTGCGCAAAAATTCCTTACTGGGCATAAACATCAATGTCAAGTCAACTGACGGACTCAGTTAGAGAAACATAAATCAAAAAAAATATTTAAAAATAATGTTCTGGGCTATTAACTAAATTGTGAACTGTCGGTGAAGGGAGAAAAATAGCTAAACTGTGAACATAGTTGAGTTCGAAAATGATGTTATTTTTGCTATTTAGGTAAAATATTACATTTTTAATGTATTCCTTAAAACTTCAGCAATTTGTAAAGATTGTTGGAGCTCTTAGCTGGCCACTGGAAGCTGTCAATCAGGTATTCACACATATAACTATGTGACGAGTGAAACTGCTTTTAGAGGGTAAATTCTTTATCCTAGAAACTTCTGTGGGGTAGGAGTTTAAGATAAGAATGGACCCTTTAAACCAGAATTAGATAATTCTAGTGTAAGTACCTCTTCCTGGTGATGCAGGGGACTACCTGTAGATGCTGGCTGCCTCACTGGACTGTGAATCTACATAATCTTTTATGGCATGTTATTAAATTTTTTAACATTTTCAGTTAATGGTTAATATATTATCTATTGTCATTTTTGCCTGACAGTGTTCATATATATCTGGTTAAGTTGTGTTCACACTTTAAGAACCTTCCAAGTCAAACTCACTCACACATCAAATGCTGCAGCTTCACAACAGATTGCAAGCTGTACGGGCCGAGTTCTCTTGGTAAGTTTCCTTTACCATTTCAAAACACCTTTTTATTAAAGCGTCATTCTAACCGGAAACAATATACAGACTACTAGAATAAACAAAGTGGTCTATGTAAAATAATGGACTTGGAGATTTGTCTTGTTACGAACTGCAATACAGGTGATAATGGAAAAATGTGAATATCGTGCAAAAGTTCATTTATTCCAGTAATGCAACGTAAAAGGGGAAACTAATATATGAGATAGACGCAATACATGCAAAGCAAGATAGCTCAAGCCGTGATTTGTCATAAGTGCGATGATTAGGGCTTACAGCTCATAAAAACTCCAAAATCTCAGTAAAATAAAATATTACATGCAATCAATAAAACAAGGAGTGTACATAGAACAATATCGGACCTCTGAAAAGTATAAGCATGCATATGGACTCAGTACTTGGGGTTTGGGCCCCTTTTGCAGCAATTACTGCCTCAATGTGGCGTGGCATGGAAGCTATCAGCCTGTAACACTGCTGAGGTGATATGGAAGACCAGGATGCTTCAATAGTGGCCTTCAGCTCTTCTGCATTGTTCAGTCTCATGTCTCTCATCTTTCTCTTGGCAATGCCGCATAGATTCTCTATGGGGTTCAGTTCAGGCGAGTTTGCTGGCCAATCAAGCACAGTAATCCCACGGTCATTGAACCAGGCTTTGGTGCTTTTGGCAGTGTGGGCAGGTGCCAAGTCCTGCTGGAAAATTAAGTCAGCATCCCCATAAAGCTCGTCTGCAGAAGGAAGCATGAAGTGCACCAAAATCTCCTGGTAGATGGCTGCGTTGACCCTGGACTTAATAAAGCACAGTGGACCAACATCAACAGATGACATGGCTCTCCAAATCAGTCTATCGCATATATTAGTATCCCCTTTTACGTTGCATTACTGAAATAAATGAACTTTTGCATGATATTCTAATTTTTCGAGTATCACCTATATAATCTGCTTCAGGTGTGCTAGATACCCATGAGCGGCCACGAGTAAAGTTCAGCCCCCAGTGCTGGAGTTAAGGCAAGGCAGGACATAAGCAAAAATATGAAGAGTGGCTCAGAGGAAAGAGAGCAGGACCAAAGGAGCAGGAGTCCAGAGTTCAAATCCCCCCGAAGCCACCAGGAAGATAAGTACACCTAGCCTTCCACATTTCACGATGGAGATTGTGACAATTTGGGCCCACTGACGGACTCAGTTAGAGAAACATAAATAAAAAAAAATATTTAAAAATAATGTTCTGGGCTATTAACTAAATTGTGAACTGTCGGTGAAGGGAGAAAAATAGCTAAACTGTGAACATAGTTGAGTTCGAAAATGATGTTATTTTTGCTATTTAGGTAAAATATTACATTTTTAATGTATTCCTTAAAACTTCAGCAATTTGTAAAGATTGTTGGAGCTCATATGAATTCCCGAACTCCACCAAATTGTAGCTGAATGAGGAACCAAATGAGCCTCAGCAATGGACGAGCCTGTTTGCATAGATTTGTGATTTGGAATTTATGCAGTGGTGCCAAGAAAAAGAAATGATTGATGGAAAAAGATGATTGACGGCCAGGGGAAAGTCACTAAATGAAATTGTATTGTCAAAAATGAGTAATAGAGAGAAAAAAGAGTAACAATAAAAAAATCTATATTTATATATTATCTAGTTAATGAATATAGAGTATATAAATAGC